CCACAAAAACCCTAGCCGCCTGCCCTCGCCGGAGAAGACGAACCAGACGCCGGAGGAGCCAGCCGCCGCCACCCGCCGCCGCACCAGGGAGTTTTCCGACCGCCGATCGAGGTAAATTTCATACCCTGACTCGTTTTTCCACGCTGAGTTCCCCTGTGGCCAAATCGGAGCCAAAATCCCGGCCAAAAGGCCGAAAAATACGGCCGAAACCCAGCGGCGCCGCCGCGTCCCTCCTCGATTTTTGCCTCTGATGAGGCCCTTTCCGGCCTCCGCTTGATGCAATTTTTATATCACCGTGATCACCATTCTTTTCTCTACAGGCTGATCGGAGCCGAATCACCAAAACACGAACCTCGCCGGAGAGCCGCCGCACCCGAGAGCACCGCCGCCGGTAAGCTTCAGTTTTTCATAATTTTTTGGCCCCCCGAGGACCCTAGGGTTGTTTTATCTTAGGGACCGATGCAAGTGTGGCCGAATTCGGCCGAAAACGGCCAACCCGAGGCGAATCGTCGCCGCTTGCGGCGGCGCCGTCGCCGGAGCACGGCGGAGGCGCCGTGCCGGAATTGCGATATTGGTCGAAAGGGGCTCTGGGTCTAATTTGGGATTTTTGGGACACGTGCAGGTACCAGTAGTGCGTTTCAGTTCCCCGGAAAAAATTCAGGAAAAATTAGGGACAGCCTGTAGGCGCACTGTGGAGCCGTGTTCGGACCCCGAAACAAGTAAGGACCCCTCACCCTACTTCCTATCATGGTATTAAAGTTCAATAAATGATAAAACAGTATTTCATGAATCAACAGATATGTGAAATTGTTTAAGATCGCTAATGGAGCCCGAGTCTAGTATGTTTGTCTGTTAGCTGTTGTTTGGCCTATTTTACGGGTTTAAATGCAGTATGAGGTCTTATGTTTTCATTTCATAGTTTTGTGTGCACATATTACTGTTTTATTGATTATGGATTGAATGACTGAGAACCCGATGTTGTATGTTGTCTTGTTTGGCATAAATTACTAGTTTGCTTGTTTGTGTGCGAATTGATGATGCTGACTGAGGAAAAAGGGAATAAAATGTTATGTAAATTGATAATTGTATAATGTGGTCAGCCTGACTAGATATCTTGGGAGATGGTGGACGGACCGGGTCCGTAGGGAACCCTACCGGGATTGTGGTATCTCATACCGGACGGGGTATGGAGATCTTATGTGTTTTGGCGCCCATATCGGACGGGGTATGGGGACGGCCCGTTTCACCCTCATACCGGATGGGATATTGAGGTTTATAGTCTTGGCGCCCATACCGGACGGGGTATGGAGACAGCCCTGGAATCTGATTACAAGTGTTAAGGGTTCACGGGTAGCGGGACCTCTATGGATCCCCATGGATACTAGTAGGCTGGTAAATGAGGAAAAATATGTTGTGTAATAATTGAATTGCAAAGGTGTGATAAGTATTATGTTATACCGTTCATATAATTTCATGATAATGATAATGTTAGTGCTTTCGTATATTATTTTATGAATTTCACCGAGGTAAGTGGATAATAAATGGTTTTATTATTGATAAAAGAATTTGTTATAAATTATGCTCAATTGGTCTTTTTGTGTTTTCTACCCACCTTTACCTCCGTGACGGTGAGATAGTATGATGTCTTTACCGGGCTGGTGTAGCTCATTCCTTATTTAATCATTTCAGATCAGGAAGACATTGTTCCCGAGCCCGTTCCACAGGAAGACGGCGAAAGGGACGCCTAAAGACTCCGTAGTTATATTTATAGCTTTTATCTTCGAGTTTCTCTTTTAGTTAGTTTCTTCTTTTATACTTTGAGTACGTTTTTGGTTTCAGTGTAAGGGATGTTAAATCAAAATTTTTATTACGCTTCCGCATTTAACCTTTTTAATACACATATTTCATTTTAAAATTTCCGGGGTCGTTACAAAAACACGGCCGAAACCCAACGGCGCCGCCGCGCCCCTCCTCGGTTTTTGCCTCCGATGAGGCCCTTCCCGGCCTCCGTTTGATACAATTTTTATATCACCGTGATCATCATTCTTTTTTCTACAGGTTGATCGGAGCCAAATCACCAAAACACGAACCTCGCCGGAGAGCCGCCGCACCCGAGAGCACCGCCGCCGGTAAGCTTGGGTTTTTCGTAATTTTTTTGCCCCCCAAGGGCCCTAGGGTTGTTTTATCACAGGGACCGATGCAAGTGTGGCCGAATTCTGCCGGAAACTGCCGAAAACGGCCAACCCGAGGCGAATTGCCGCCGCTTGTCGCCGAAGCACGGCGGAGCCACCGTGCTGGAATTGCGATATTGGCCGAAAGGGGCCCTGGGTCTAATTTGGGATTTTTTGGGATACGTGCAGGTACCAGTAGTGCGTTTCAGTTCCCCAGAAAAAATTCAGGAAAAATTAGGGACAGCCTGCAGGCGCACTGTAGAGCCGTATTCGGACCCCGAAACAAGTAAGGACCCCTCACCCTTTTTCCTATCACGGTATTAAAGTTCAATAAACGATAAAACGGTATTTTATGAATCAATAGATGTGCGAAATTGTTTAAGGTCGCTAATGGAGCCCGAGTCAGGTGTGTTTGTCGGTAAGCTGTTGTTTGGCCTATTTTACAGTTTTAAATGCAGCATGAGGTCTGATGTTTTCATTTCATAGTTTCGTGTGCATATATCACTGTTTTATTGATTATGGGTTGAATGACTGAGAACCCGATGTTGTATGTTGTCTTGTTTGGCATAAATTACTAGTTTACTTGTTGTGTGTGATTTGATGATACTGACTGAGGAAAAGGAGAATAAAAGGTTATGTAAATTGATAATTGTATAATGTGGTCAGCCTGACTAGATATCCTGGGAGATGGTAGACAGACCGGGTCCGTAAGGAACCCTACCGGGATTGTGGTCTCTCATACCGGACGGGGTATGAAGACCTTATGTGTTTTGGCGCCCATATCGGACGGGGTATGGGGACGGCCCGTTTTGGCGCCCATATCTGACGGGGTATTGAGGTTTATAGTTTTGGCGCCCATACCGGACGGGGTATGGGGATGGCCCTGGAATCTGATTACAAGTGTTAAAGGTTCACGGGTAGCGGGGCCCCTATGGATCCCCATGGATACTAGTAGGCTGGTAAATGAGGAAAAATATGTTGTGTGATGATTGAATTGCAAAAGGCGTGATAAGTATTATGTTATACAGTTTATATGATTTCATGATGATTATAATGTTATTGCTTTCGTATATTGTTTTATGAATTTCACAGAGGTAAGTGGATGGTAAAGGATTTTATTATTAATAAAAGGATTTGTTGTAAATTATGTTCCATTGGTCTTTTTGTGTTTTCTACCCACCTTTACCTCCGTGACGGTGAGATATTGTGATGTCTTTACTGGGCTGGTGTAGCTCATTCCTTATTTAATCATTTCAGATCAGGAAGACATTGTTCCCGAGCCCGTTCCGCAGGAAGACGGCGAAGGGGACGCCTAAAGACTCCGTAGTCATATTCATAACTTTTACTTTCGAGTTTCTCTTTTAGTTAGTTTGATCTTTTATACTTTGAGCACGTTTTTGGTTTTAGTGTAAAGGATGTTAATCAAAATTTTGACTTCGCTTCCGCATTTAGACATTTTTAATACACATATTTCATTTTAAATTTCCGGGGTCGTTACAAAAAAAAAGTGGGAGCTTTCGATAGGGAAGATAGTTATGACGTTAAAAAAAAGCTTAGAAAAAAAATGTGATTTCTAAAGAAAAAATAGAGTTTTTCTCCTAATTATTCAAAGATGAATATGCAAAGGGAAATAACACTGAAGTAGCTAGTGCACTTCGTTATAGTACACTAGATAAAACTTTATTAATCATAATCAAATACTTTTATTTATGATTGAAATTATGAAAATGTAATGTGAGCTCCAATTTTACTAAAAGGACCTTGAGGTGATACTTATGTGTTTTTAATAATTAAAATATTTGTAATATATAATTGACTTAACAATATTTTATGTCGTATAAGTCTTAAATTATGATTTATGAAATTTATAGTTTATCTTCGGTGCATACTTGGATTATTTAGTTTTGAACGTGGGGGAATATTTGATTGCAATGAGTAAAACAATAATAAATTATATGATGAGGATCTAAAAAAAAGTAATTACGAGAAATAAAGTTAACTAAAAATACGAACACATGCTATTGTTAAATAATGTAGGCTTATATTGAGAATTAAAAAATAATGTAGTCAGTTTTAGAAATATTATTGGGATATGACAACATATGAACACGTGGAAAAAAAAGGACTTTTATAAGCATCACAATCCAACGTGCAATGAAGGAGATCGTGTACGAATTGTGTATTTTGTAGATGGATGTATTGTTTCCATAATATGTTGCATTCATAAATTGCTTAGTTCACTTTCCATCCATTCAATTTGCATACTATAAGAATTAATGCAGAATGTGGTATAACTTAATCTATTATAATTATTGGAAGTTAAAATAAAATTTGATCGTTGGTAAATTTTAAGCTATAGAGAGGTAAAAAAGACTTCAATTATAAAGACGAAACTCTTAACGCATTTAGTATATAACCAATGATATAGAGAGCGAAAATATTTCAGTCACGCATGACAATGGTCAATAAAGTCTTTAACCACTAATTTAGATTTAAAATTTTATTAAATATTGATTGGGTTCAAGAATTAAAATACAATACTCAATAATTTAAGTACTTGTTAAAGTAAAATATAATTTAAATCATATTTAAATATAACACTCAATAATAAATATAAAATAATATTATAATATATAATATTAGATTGTAGTAATTAAAATTTAATTTATTTGAACAAAATTAAAATAAAAAATTAAGAATTATTATATAGATAGTGGGTTGGGCGGATGGGGGCGGGTCAACTAAAGCTCATTATCATTGAATTTCATACTTACTTGGAATGTTTTATATTTTATTAATTTTGGGTCTCTACCCGTTCCATTCGGGGCATTAAAGCGAGTTCATTGCCGTTCTCTACTTCCCACGACAAAACGACGCGTTTAGCCAGGGTTTTCTTTTTTTCTGGTTAAACACAGCTCGTTACTCGCGTTTAACCATGGCTTTAAACAAAGTTTCCGTCGAGGTACTCTCTGGTGCTTCTTTTGCAAAGTGAGAACAGTGGGTTTGATAAGTAAAACTAAAAAGAACAACAATGGAGGAAAGTCTGCAGAGGGGAGACAAGCCATGGAGGGTCCTGGAGTTCTACAGTGGAATTGGCGGCATGGTACTCTAGCCTCAACCCTAATCCTCTCTCTCTCTCTCTCTCTCTCTCTCTCTTGATAGGGTAATATGTATTTGTTTGCAGATATCTGTACGCATACGTGTGCTTGTATAGGTTCTGGTGAATGTATTTTCCTTTTTGATTTGTTTGTGTTCTTCCCTTTTCAGAGGTACTCGTTGATGAAAGCTGGTGTCAACGCCGAAGTAGTGGAAGCATTTGACATAAACAATGTGGCCAATGATGTTTACCAACACAATTTCGGACATCGTCCCTACCAGGTTTTTTTATCTCTCTTTTCTTCTTCTTGTTCCTTCCTTTCTGGTTACTTACTATTTGAATCAATATCTTGGTTACTCTTTGGTATAATCGGAGCTGTGAATTGCTACTGTGAAGTAACCCTCTTAGGATAACATATAGATAACTGAAATTTTAGATGTGAGCTGGTAATTTATTGTTTAAAATTTTTGGATTTCGTACTTTTGTGATGTAACTTAATGTAGCTAAACCATTTTAAAAGACATATGGGAACAACTGTTACTCGTGCTAGTGCAGTTTTCTATGTGCATTAATTCGAATTTATCCATGTTGCTGAGTCTTGAATGAAAATTCCTGTCTCACGCTCTGTGTTATAGAGGTTTACACATAAAGTTTGTTTGAGGGTTTTTGATATTTGTTTCTTTAGGATGGTCAAAGACTGAATTTCATTTACAACTATTTGATTTGAGTATTTGAAGGATTTTAGCATCTGTTCACCTCAGCTAAAATAAGATTCCCTAGTTCTTTTCGGCAAAATTTAGTGTGTGGAATTCTTCTTTTTAGGCTATGTTTGGAATAAATTTAGAAATTTTTTAGAATTATATGTAAATTCACACTTTATTAGAAGATGATAAAAAAAGGGCTTTATTCTGAATTTCATGTATAATTATTTATAATGCATTTTTAATTTTGTCAAATTGATAGAGTTTTGAATACCTATGTGAAATTTCATAGAAGGTCAGTGTTTGGCACTTAGAGAGCGTAGTTTTACATTTTTCAAGTTGAATGGATCTCAAAAAAATTCTAAATTTATTGTAAGCACAGAATTATTCTCTTTTTTCTTCCCTATTAAAACTTCTTGGATGGAAGTAGAACATATAAATATATATTTTTGAGGTAAATGGATGAAAGTAGAACATACTGAAGCTTAAAATTTTTTACTGACTTATCTTGTTGACATAGGGTAACATCCAATGCCTAACTGCTGCTAATCTGGACAGCTATGGGGCAGACGCATGGCTTCTTTCCCCTCCTTGCCAGCCATACACTCGGCAAGGTGCATCTTATTTCTTCAATTTCTTATTCAGTCTTATAGGTTCATTATTGATTGGCACTAAGCTTTTTTCAAAAAATATTAGGTCTCCAAAAGCAGTCCAGTGATGCTCGCGCATTTTCATTTCTCAGAATTCTTGGACTTATACCTTACATTTCCCAGCCTCCGCTCATGTTATTCGTGGAGAATGTTGTTGGATTTGAGGTTTGTTTCTTCTTGGACAAACTAAAAAATATAATTCAAAAGTGATGTAAGCCATAATAAATTATTTTCATTTTCTTTTAATTTCTCCTTATCTTTTCCTCTTTTTCTTCTGTGGCTGGGGTTGTGATTTTGCTGCAGGTCTCAGATACACATGCAAAAATGAAAGACACATTAGCAAAGTTTGATTATGTTACACAAGAATTTATCTTGAGCCCGTTACAGTTTGGGGTGCCATATTCTAGACCGCGGTATTTTTGTCTGGTTGTTACTCTCTTGTTCTCTCTCTCTCTCTCTCCCTACACTGGGATCATGTATTTTGTTTTTCTGTCACCTTTTCCTTTGCCCTTTGCATGTCGAATGTGCTTTTTCAGCTTTTTTTTGGGTGCAATAGAAAATGCTAAATTGTTGGACTCAATGGGCATTGTAAGTTGGTAGCTAAACTGTGATTTAGAGCAATTAATTCATGTGGTTATCTTTAATGAATTACCTGAAGAGGTGCAAGAACCTTTATTTTCAAAACCTTGTACTTTGGAATCATTAGTAAGTGTTGAATTGTAGACTTTTTGCTGCAATTCACAAATATTGTAAAGATGAGAGTATGATAGAGTTTAGGAGGCTGTTGTTTATGACTGGTTCAGTGTTCTTGATAATTGAAAATAGAACTCCATATGAGGTCCTATATAACAAGACATTATGTTTATGAAAAACTAGACAAGACTAAAAAATAAAGATGCTCTGATACAGTATAAAAGTAATGAAAAAAACTTATTTTTTTTTAAATAAAAATGTGTAGTATATATTAACAGGGTACCAAAAAGGGGGTACCACCCATGTACAATAGATTTACAAACGTGTTAGTTTATCTATGATATTTCCAAAATCCACATCACTAATGTCATGATCCAACAAAATAGACCCAAAATATTGAATCTAGCTATCTTTTAAACAATTAATACTACTCTCAACACTATCAAAAGTTCTACCATTTGTCTCCTTCCAAATGATGCAGAAGATAGTCAATGGAATCAAGTTAACTATCTTATTTTTTACATATAAATCATCTCAAGCCCAAATTTCTCCCTGAACAGACCCAACAATGACCCAATCAATCCCCAAAAGACCATAGACCATGCACCATAAACTGTAAGTAGTTAGACACCACAATAAAAGGTAATTACATGTTTCCTCAGCTTTTAAACAGCAATAACAACTGTTCACCACATCCGTCCTCTGATTTTCAGCTTGTCGATAGTTAATATTTTCTCCCGGCAAGCCTCTCAAGCGAAAAAAGAAATGCGAGGAGGAGCCTTGGTTTTCCAAATTTGATTTGCTGGAAAATTAAAACTAGTCTCATTCTCTTTTCTGCGTAGGTAATTATAGTATGACTTAACAGAAAAATTGCCATTTTTATCAATTTTTCATAAGATCTGGTCATCTCTGTTTGACACAATCTGTTCGGCCAGCAGCTTCATTGATTCCTCAAATTCATTAACTTCCCAATCATTCAAGTTCCGACAAACATTGATTGCCATACAATTCTATCATTTGCTGCCCGGTATGCAGCTTCTACTACCATCATCTTAGATTGGACAATATTGAAAATTCTGAGAAATCTCCTTCTGAGAGTCATCCCCAATCCAATCATCTTCCCAAAAAATAATCCTGTTTCCTCTCCCCAGTTTCCAAGTGATACATTGTTGAAAGTTGAACCATTGCATCAAAATTTTTCCTCTCCCCAGTTTCCAAGTGATACATTGTTGAAAGTTGAACCATTGCATCAAAATTTTTCTCCACAAGCCTCTCCGATGTGATCTCGAAATCTTACTGTCATCCCTCCTGTCCATAAATATGTCCCACCGAGAGAAAACAATCTGTCTCCATAGCCTGTTTTCTTCCTTCAAATATCTCCAAAGCCATTTCCCCTCGAGTGCAATATTCATGTTAACATGGATCTAATCCCAAGACCCCCCCCCCCCCCCGGCGTATATGATAGGTTCTTTAATATCATCCCACTTCACAAGGTGGTATTTTCTCTCCACATCATTATCACCCAAAAGGAATCTACACTGTATTGCTTCCAATCTTTTAGCCACCTTGACAGGGATCGTAATCGTTGATGGATAATATATTGGAAGATTTGCCAGGATGCTTTTTTTTATTAAAGTATATATGCCCCCCTTGGAAGGGAAATTTTTCTTCCAATCTACAAGTTTTCTTTTAAATAATTCAATCACCGGCTCCCAAGATACTTGATCTTTATATTTAGCACCAAGTGGAAGACCAAGTTATTTGAATGGAAATTTTACCTCTTTGCACCCCATGATCTTAGCATAAGACCCAGCTTTCTCACTGTCACCAATTCTTGCCAATTCAGATTTGTGTAAATTAATCTTGAGTTCCGAAACAGTTTGAAAGTACATAGTACACACCTCAAATGCAATATGCTCTTCAAATCCGGTTGACAAAAGATTAAAGTATCATCAGCAAAGAATAAATGAGATACTTCAATGGTATTCTCTCTTTTTCCCACCGAAACACCCCTAATCAGTTGCATCTCATATGTCCTTTTAAGTAACCCCTCCATAATCATTGTAAACAATCGAGGGGATAGTGGATCATCTTGTCTCAAGTCTCTTGAAGCGTTGAAAAAATTTGAAGGATCCCCATTTATTAATACAGCAAAAGAAGTAATAATGATGCAAAATTGCATCCATTTTCTCCATTTTAGACCGACACCCATTCTGAAAATCATATAATCCTCAAATTCCAATTCACATGGTCATATGCTTTTTCCATATCGAGTTTGCACACCGAACCATCCTTTTTGTTAATCATCGACCGTCTCATTAGCAACCATTACAGCATAAAAAATCTGTCTTCCACCCACAAAAGCATGTTGACATTCTCCAATTATCTCCCCCGTCACTTTAACTAATTTTCTAGCCAACACATTAGCAATAAGTTTGTAGATGCAACCAACCAAGTTTATTGGCCTAAAGTCTTTGAATTCATTCGCACAACTTTTCTTAAGAATGAGGGTAATAAAAGTAGTATTTAAAGATTTAACAAACTTACCCTTAGTGTGCAGATCTTTGAAACTATTCAGAATGTTCTCTTTCAGTAGGGGGCAGAAACTCTGAAGAAAACTCATGCTAAAACCGTCGAGACCCACTGCTTTGTTGCCATCACAAGATTTTAACCCCTTTAAACTCTCTTCTGCAGTGAACTCAACTTCCAAAGAGTGTCTGCTCTCATTGGAAATACTACAAAATGGCAAACCGTCCATTTTTGGCCG